GGTCTTAACATGACAGGAAGATAGTTGTTGAAATGATATATGGGAGAACTGACTTGCAGACCAGAAGTACTTGTGATGACTACCGTCTGATTGTGACTTTGTGAGCGTGATTATAATAATAAGGAGTGGGCACATGCTCGACTTGGCCATGGTTCGTTTGCAGGACAGGGATTGGGAGGTTCCAGTGACTAGCAGTAAGTGTAATTGATGCGCACTCACTATTTGGGAGCAGTGCAGCAGTGGTCACAGCAGTTGCCGCAGCAGTGGCACACAATGCCCCATACCATTGGTTTGGGGTTTGGAATGGTTCGGGACCTGTCCGAACCAAAGTCGAACCGTTCGCCCAACGCCAGAACTGAGAACCGTACTATGGTCTGGTTCTGGCTGATACCTGGACTGTGGACCGAACCACAGGGGAACCAGACCAAAAGTCCGGTTTGAACCATGGTTCAGGACCGGACCACGGCAGCACTAGGCTCAACCTGAGATCACACAAATGGCCACCGACAAGCCAAAGGCACAATGGCAAGACTCAGGTAGATATCCTCCTTCAACATTTCATTAAGAATCATGCAGTGATTGGCAATAGTGGGAACTTCTCAGGGCCTACCTTCAACAGTGCAGCTATTGCTATCAATTCCAATGAGACAATTCAAACAATAGGCCCACCAAAGATGGGCAATATGGTTAAGACCAAATGGACCACAGTATGTGATCTTATCTTGATTGATCATGATTTGACTAGACTGTTAGCTCAAAAAATCTTCAATCAAATTGAGGCCTACCGCAATGTATCCGGCTTTCATTGGGACAATGTGTGGGGAGCTGGGATTGAAGGCCCTGCTGCTGCTAGCATTTGGAACACACATATTGCTCCAAGGGTATGTTATTACATACAGTGGCTCAAAAAAGTGTCTCAATGTTTGTGGATTTGCATGTAATTGCTTCATTGTGAGTCAGGGTGTGAGAATCTGACTAAGTTATAGGGAGGTGTCAGAATGCTCTGCCTCTTGGCTTTATCTCCATCCCCTATAGCGTGGGAATCCGATGTTATCGTGTGAAGATATGGATATTTTAATTTGATATCTCATTGGTACACTTTTTTGACTTTGAATTTGACCAATATAATCTCTATAATTGTAGTACTTGGTGTTGCCTCCTCTTGCTCTGATCACTTTCTACCACTCTTATAAACACACTATATATCAATTCATAGCATTATCCATGAGTAATATTCCCTCGCTGTGCTGTAACTCTCTCCCATAGCTGAAATAGCCCCTATTGAGGATTCTGATACACCTCCTGAGTAATTTCCAGAGATGTTCAATAGGGTTGAGGTCTGAAGACTGTACTATCCATGATAGAATAGTGATATCATAGTTTTCAAACCATTTGGTAGCCAACTTGAAGCATACTTGAGATCATTATCTTGTCATAAGATGGTGTCTTCTTCATCAATATTTGATTCCTGCATGCTTTTAAGCAGACACTCTGCCAAATTGAGATGCACTTCTCTGCATCTATCCTCCCCTCTGTTACAGTCTACGTACGCCCCTATTCATTTTCTCTTCTTACCTTGTATTATGTCACAATCGCCATCATAGCCATCACTAGACTCATCTCTTATCATCAGCTGTATTACATCACGATCGCATCATGCCGTCGCTAGGTGATCTATTCTTGTTATCTCTGACTCGTTCTGACTTCATTGTACCGGCCCTAAAGCAGTTATCGTTCACTATATAAACTCGCTTTGTACTATGTAGTTCTTTACTTTAATCTTACTAGGTTTTACCTGGAACTTCCTTCGCTTAAGACTTCCAATCTTAAGTCGTCTGAAACTGATTCAAGTCGAGGACACTCTCCTTGCCTTGTCTTACGAACTCTTGTATATGCAAGAGTCTTGACTCGGCCTTAGCCGAATACTCTTATCGAGTAGCTATTGTCGGAACTATCCTAGTTCGTAACACCCTCCACCTCACAGAGAATTCCTCCTCTAGTCCAACTCATACAAATCTATACAATCAAGTTTTCTCCTCCAAACTTGAGTGTTTCTTGACTTCTCTTTGTCCTAGTAGTTCTTCTGCCTTTTTCCATACATATTCCTGGTCTTCTGACCCCATTCTATTGATTTTTGTCTCATCTAACCAGATAGCCCTCTTCCAGTCCTCAAAGTCCAATACTGGTGCTTCAAAGCAAGGGCTAGTCTCCTCCCTCTATAGGCTGAAGATAGGAGAAGCTTTTCTTTTTAGTTATAGCTTCAAGGTTAGCTGCCTTGAGAGCATTCCTGACTATTTGAGTGGAGACAGTGGTGTGGATAATAGAATAAATGAATTTGATGGCTTGAGTAGTATTAGCAGCCTGCCCAGTCAAAATATAATACCCAAAGATCTTTTGCTATATGGTATGAGTTTAAAAGAGTGGTTTAATTTGATATTTTTCTTATCTGGAATGGTCTTTTTGATGAATCAAGCAATAGTATCCCTCCTCAGGCCAGTTTTAGTAGAAATCTGCCTGTTAGACAGAAAAGAGGAGCTGAAGATGAGAATAGGGGCTATTTCAGCTATGGGAGAGAGTTACAGCACAGCGAGGGAATATTACTCATGGATAATGCTATGAATTGATATATAGTGTGTTTATAAGAGTGGTAGAAGTGATCAGAGCAAGAGGAGGCAACACCAAGTACTACAATTATAGAGATTATATTGGTCAAATTCAAAGTCAAAAAAGTGTACCAATGAGATATCAAATTAAAATATCCATATCTTCACACGATAACATCGGATTCCCACGCTATAGGGGATGGAGATAAAGCCAAGAGGCAGAGCATTCTGACACCTCCCTATAACTTAGTCAGATTCTCACACCCTGACTCACAATGAAGCAATTACATGCAAATCCACAAACATTGGGACACTTTTTGAGCCACTGTAGATGGGGGCAGCACATCTGCTGGAGCCGCTGGCCCTAGTGATGTGCCAGACATGAGTGCCAACCTGATGATGCCACCTAGTGCCCTGTTCCTTGCAACCTCCACTGCTACTGGCTCCCAGTCCAGCAAATGTGTATGCACCAACACTTTACTCAACTCCATGGAGACATCATCTTACAATTCCAGTGGCACCCCCATGGCCAGCTATGCCAACAGTCCCCAGTCATCATCTCTCTCCCTTTTGTCAACATTGGCGCCATTGTTCCAGCCACCAGCCTTGAAGAAGGCTCAAGTGTCAACGCATGGTAGCTTGCAGATGGGGGTGAGCAGCACTGCTAAAGTCGCTGCCAAGATCACACCAATGGCCACCGTCATGAACATGCAAGGCACTATAAATTGCCTCACTGATGTTATCGAGAGGAATATGATGGCTCCATCTGACCTACTTGTTGCGCCAACCATAATATCCTGTGGCCTGTTGATTTTGCATGGTGCAGATGGAGATCTGCCTGTTTCTCAGAGAGCCAACCTCTTGCAGATACTTTTGTGCTCTGGAGGCAAGAACAATCTCGCTGTATATGTTGGGCTGGAGGATGACTTTGAGATGCGCTGTGCATTTATCTTGAGGCTCCTGGGGTCTATGCAGTAGAACTATCTTGCCATTTGTATTGCCGCTTCTTACATTTTTCATACCAACATGTAGTATCTACCTCATGTATCACATATCACATTCTTTGCAATGCCAATGGATTCTCCATGTCTTTGCTGGCGGGAATGGATCAGGAGTAGATGGCTGTGGTTGCTGTTGCTGACAAGAACCGCTCATCAGGATGTCTTGTTCAGAATACATTGTACAAGTTAACTACATACTACTAGTACAGATTAATCCAGTCCATCCTTGTCAGCATCTGAGACACCTTGGTCTGATAGGTTGTTGTTGTTGTCTCCAAGAGCGCATCTCTCTTGCAAAATATATTGGTAATCTGCCCACATTGCTGAAGCAATGTGATCACACATCAAATGGAGATCATCATGCACAGCTGGGTGACCTTCTACTAGCCCCTGCTTCCAGTTTGCAGCAGGTTCATTGCCAAGGGAATAGTCTGTGTCAGGTAGCCTACCTTCTGCAGGATCATGAAGGTGGATAAAATTATGTAGGCTGCATAATGCTGCTAGGATCTGGGCTTGTATACCCATAGTATATGGTGGGTGTTAAGACCGTACTCAAGTAGTATTGGATCTGAAGGGCTGCAGCCTCAGCTCATGCGCTGTGCCCCTTTCCCGAGTCTTGCCCCTTATTTCAGAGTGCTAGAGTATCGCGTCTAGTGAGACGGATAAGTATCGTAACGGATCCGTTAAGGCTTCCGGATATCGAACATATAGAGTAACGGCTAATCCGGATCGGATCCGAACTAGAAACTAACGGGTGAGGACTGTCCGAAGACAGAGACGAATATATAGACTACAGGAATCAATCCTAAGTCTCGGAGTAGACAAGAGTATCGTACTCAAGTCTGGATGGATAATGGAGGGACTTAGAGTCCAGACAGAATGAGTGCAATCTAAGATGATATCCGAACTGATCTACTACAGCGCATGTACAAGGGTTTATATACTACAGATAACTAACGGAATGATCAATAAGCAAAGGCGCGAGGCTATGTACGAAGTATAATCAAAGTATGTGCACAGCATATCGGTAAGTCGGATGGATAACGAATCATAACTGGAAATGAAGTATAAGCTAAAGCAGATCAGTAAGTGTAGCGGATCAGTAAGCATAACGGAAGTAAAGGATAACCGGTATACTGGTGTACAGGAATGCCGAAAGGAGATGAACAATAGTTAGAGTTATATGAACAGGACATGAAATAAGAATCAGATCGGATCTTTGGACCGGACGACGGATATGTCCATTGGATCTGGATTGGATCTGAGATCCAGATCTTTGGATCTGTACCTGGGAATATGGTATATGACAGTGGGGTTAGAAGGAGGATCCGGAAATGTCATTTAAGGATGCTGAAAATCCGCTCAATGACATTTCGAGTGTATGCATGACAAAGGTTGAATAATTCTTCTTTGGTAGCTGGCTGTTAAGACCATAGCTCAAGGGTTAACGGATCCATAGGGCTTGGCCTCAGCTCGTACACTGTGCCCCTTACCCGAGTACGTGCCCTTAATTTCAGAATGAAGTCCAGATGGAATCCAACAAAGTCCAAAGGACTTCCAGAGGCTGGCTACTCTGGTGGAGTGCTGAAGGACTTCCCATGGTAAGCTTCTTAGATAGAAACACATAGAGGAGGGACTGCAATGGACAGAGTCCAAAACAGGATAGGATAGGAGGAGTGGTCCAAAGGACAGGACATCTGGAGGTCTGAAGGGTACGATGTCTGAAGGTTATGACGTCCGAAGGTTTAGGAGGCCCAGACAGGATTAGGACAGGAGGGGAAAGACTACTATGGACAAGGTCCGGAGTAGAAACAAACAGAGGTAGACTACACTTAAGTAGAGGTGGAGTTGACAGGAAGTAGACAGAAGTCTCAGAAAGACAGGAAGTGCCAGAAAGGCAAAAGTCCGGCTTAGGGAGTCAATCCCTAAGCATGGATGTAGATGGAAGGATAAATCTGGAGGACTGGAAAGTCGTCCTAGGGAATCCTTCCCTAGGCCTAAGGAAAGGTCAGACTAAGATGGACCAATGTGGTGAAAGAAATAGTAGTCAGCTAGATATACCAACTAACTTACTAAATCCTAATGGGTGCGAGTGCAGTACGTCAACCCAAGGGGACTGCTATTGAAGCACTTCCTTCTAATAGTGCGAGGGAAGAGAAAGGAAGAAACTAAGATCTAAGACTTGAGATATTCTGACCGACTGAAGGTCCGTGTCTGAGAATGTCCGACACGATATGGGATACTGATGGTACACCCAATGCGAGATGCTGATGAGGGACACCGACACGTGATACCGATGAAGGACACCAATGTGAGATACCGATGTGAGGTGAGGAGTCCGATGCTGATGAGCAGCAGGTAAGTCTAGGCCGAGGTAAGGAGAGTCTAGGTATAACTAGGTATGACGAGGTATGACTAGGTATGGGTTGCCGACGCAAGACTACCGGTAGCAGTCCAGATCTCACAAGGCCTAGGTAAAGAAACCTTAGATAGAGTGCACTTAGAGCAGTCAAGGCACGTCCAATGATAAAAGCAAGGGGGATCAATTGCACAATCAAAGACTGACTAAGGTGACTCCTACAATGGTACCAGGTATGTCCGAGGAATGGAAGTAAGGGATAATACAAACTTGAGTCCTATTTATCTAACTGCGTGAATGTCCGGAATTGCACAGGCGAGAGTAGTAGTGAAATGCAAGGTACTCGGGTCAATATGTAATAAGGCTCGTGAGTGCTGCGGCCATGGGAATACATGTAATAATGCCTGCTGTTCGTTCAGTAACGGTAAAATAAGCTTAAAATGCACCAATGGAGATAGGTGGACATGGGCAGGACATGGGAGGATTTGGTACCGATGGGACGGAACGGTCGGCTGAAGTGCGCAATGACCGAACCGACGAGTAAGGGACGGTATAGACAACCCTGGCTCTCTGCGAGAGACCGAGACCACGGATCCATATCGGCCAAGTCAGACATAGACCGGTGCGACATGGGTGAGTTGAGTGAGTCGAGACTTTGCAAGGAAGTGGTGTATGGATGCAATGTGGACTTCTAGGCTGCTTGACTCCTATAGTGAAATGGGGTTCTGCAAGGCTAGCCTGAGTTTGAACACCACACCAAAGTCCACGAGCAGAATGAGTGAAGTCTAATATGATATTCAAACTAAGGAAACTTTACAGGAGTTGTACAGAGGTTTATGTATATACTGGAAGGGATCTGAGAGGATTAGTAAGCTGAACACAAATGCTATGTACAAGCATGTGGAAACATATTGGTAAGTATGAACGGAACATAAGTAAATGAACTCAGAGATGAACAGAGCACAAGGATCAATAAGCAAGACGGAAACACAGATAATCAAAGTCCGGAGTCAAGGGGATTACCATAAGGAAATAGATGCTGATTTAAGGTTTGAGCTTCAGATGTGAGTATAGGTTGTATCCGGAGGTCTGGAGATATCGGATGAGGCATCTGGATATTGGATGAGCGGATCCGGAGATCTAGGTGAATATGGAACTAGGATATGAATCGTGGATATAGTCCAGTAGTCTAGGGAAGGTAAAGTCCCAGGTGGAATGAGCTCAGATCCGATAGGATCAAGGGTGTATGAAGCAGGCTTAGCTGCAGAGGTTCAGAGGTATGAATATATGGATGTGCAAAGGTGTATGGATCCGAACCAATAGTAAACTGGAGGACTGAAGGCATGGATGAGGGTATGGAGTCATGGATAAGGGCATGGAGGTCCAGATGTGCATCCAGAAGGCGTGGGAACATCATCAGACGTAGGTCCGGAATATGGGATATGACAGTTATGACTTATGGCTAGATTTTTTGCTGTCAGGTGTGTATTAGAACTTCCACAATATATTACACATCATCATTCATAACAAGTCTGTCTTGGTTTGCTCAGAGTCAGGTTTATGTATTGATTGTCATGGAACACTTATATCCATAATATATGTGATAAGAAGGAGTATATTAAGGTATACTTATAATATTATAAGCCTAGGAGCATACCTATGAACATTATTCAACTTCTTAAAAATACTGGAGCTTGAGGAAGAGCTTTGGAAACAGAGTTTCTCCTTTACTATACTTTCTAGAACTAAGAGTTACATAAACAAATTCTTGTCTGTACAGTGAACTATCTGCAGATTTCATAGTGTCACCCTTCCTAAAAACACTTCTCTGTGATCCTCAATAGATTTAAAATGCTGACCCACCCAACATTCTGCATGTTGTCTTATTACTTAAGGGTCTAATATGAAACGGTGTATAGTGCTAATACAATAATGACTTCTTATCAGTTCTTGAGCACAGTTTACAGCTTTCTAGTTTTCATGAAACATCATATATAAGTTCTTAAGAGGTTGGAGAATTATTTGGATGTTATATAGTCAACTTTCTGTAATCTAGTATGCAACCAATAATATATATTTGTAGTCTTATTTTAAGACATCCGATTGACCTACAATAGTAACAAAAATGTGAAACATTCATGACTCGATTGTGCAGTATACTTACAGACAGTAGCAGCTGATATATCACTGATGTACCCAAAAATGATACTTTCATCCAGTCTATTTCTGGTTTTCTGGGTTCCTTGGATTATTCCAGCTATCTTTATTTAGTTAATATATTTTGATACAGAGTTTCATTTAGCCTATGCAGTATTTTTATATCATATAGAGGTATATACAGTTTTTCAGTAGTTTGCAGGTAGCTTGAAGAGCAGTCCAATTATAGGTGTATAATTATTAAGGCATAGTAGAATGAGGTTTTTAATTCTTTACCTGTATCAACAATAATGTATGGCTTGGACCTTAATGTTAGGCTACAGCACAGCTCAAATTAATATCTTCATTTGGACTTGACTTTTTCTGGTCAATGAGTAAATATATTGATTTTTAATAGAATGTTCAGTGTTACTAGTAGGACTCTGATGGTCACAATGATCTTGTTTTAGCACACCAAAAACAAATAGTGAGCAATACCAATATTTCTTGTACTGTATGATTACAGGTTTTCAATGTGGTTGTAGATTTATATCTTCTTGCTATTCATACTAGAGGCCTGGACCCTGCCCCTCACACCTTTTCCAGCTCTTCAGAACCTTGT